TAGTTTAGAACATTAGTTTTTTTCTTATTTTTGTATTATGATTTCTTTATAAATCTTCCACTAATAAACCAAAGGTAAGGTCACCTAAGTTAAAAAAAAAATATATACTGTATTCTTTTCTTAAACTAACATAATATCTAATCTATTCTATAGAATTAATATAGTTATTTATCTAATACTATTATAAATATTCTAATCTAAATAAGTTTTTATATTCTAGTAGATTTATATTGCAAATAAATTAGATAGTTTACTATTTATAGTTTGAGTTTTAATTCTTGTAAACAAATTTATAAATTAAACCTTATTCTGAAAACTCTTTTATAGAATTTATATAAATTTTAATAAAGATAAAGACAAAACTTTATCTTAATATTAAAAAAACTTTATTATAATTTATTTGAATAATAATATCAAAAAATAATAATGAGTTTGTAATAATTTAAAATTATTTTAAAATCTTATATAAATATTTAAAAAATCTTGATAAGTAAAATTAATAATTGTTTTATAAATTTATTATATTATTAATAACAAGCTAAATTATCTGTTAATACAGTTTTTTAAGTATAAAATTAATATTAATATTACAATTCATTTGATCTATATTAAATAATAAAATTTAATATGTTAATATGATAATATTATTATTTTATAAATACAATTTGAATTTTAATAATTACTAATTTCTGATTCTTGTAATTCATTTTTACTAAATATTATATCTTGAATTAAATTTGAATCTTCAATTAAGTTGCTATTGTAACATTTTTGTGAAAGTTTTTTTATTGCTTTTATACTCTTTTTAAATAATATCACTGATTATACTGTTTAGTTTTGCTTTATTTTGGTATTTTAAGATTAATTCATAATAAAAAAAATATTAAATATATATGATTATATCATTAATTATTAAATAACATTAATTATTCTATTTGTATGAAGCAATTTTAAAATTCTAAAAAAATAATTATCAAACTAAATTTATATTTATTAACACAAATATCTATACTATTTTTTTTTAACTTGAAGCTCTCAACTAGTTCTACATGGTAATAGAACTATATTTTTTTTTGATAGTTCATTAAAATAATCAAAATCTTATTAATTATCATATAAATATTAAATATTAAATAAATAATTAATTTTTACAAAATTTTTTAAAAGAATTATTTAAAAAATTAGCACTATGACTATATAGAGCTAGTAGTGTATATTTTTGTTAGATATTTATGCCAATAAATATAAATTTAGTTTAATATTTAAATATGCGGCCTATAAAACATCAGAAATTAATGATTTTCATATATTACCCTAACTAAAGTTTGATTTAATTAGTGAGTTACCACTCTAAAGCGACGTGTTATTTGCCTAAAATTTATAAAATTCCAAAATCTCCTGATTTCTCGTGAGTTTCACATGACATCACGATCTGCAAAGTCACTTATTGCAAAACATTTTGTTGGTCGAGTTTAGTAATGGGAAAAATGCGCATTTTATAATAACATGCGCATGAAACGTAAAATGCGCATGATACCGCATGATATAACTTCTCTATTTTTCTGTTTCATTTCGGAAAAAATCGTTATGTTTCCCGAATTTCGGTCGCGACCTTGCTCGTCTTTGAGGTTCATTCATTTTCTTTACGAAAATTTTCGTAATTTTTGAATTTCCTATCCTCTAATACCGCCCGGCATTATGCTCTCTGGCCTAAATTACGCAGCCTAACCAAACATATATAAATTCTTGATGGGTAAAAATGCGCATGAAACGGAAAAATGCGCATTCATGCGCATGTTTCAGGTTTCATGCGCACGCATGATACCCATCTCTAGTCGAGTTCTTAAACAATTTCAAAAAAATTTCCACCACTTACAGAAAGACACGACTATTAAATATAGATGATATGAAATACTCCAAAACTTTAATTAAATGACCATGTAAATTTAAAAAATTTTACTTCGATGTTGTCGATTATAATTATCGATATATGTTCGATAAATATTAATAAAGTTTTGATTTCATGTAATCTCAACTTGAGTTGCATTTTTTAAACTAATCGACAAATACTTGATCATATTTGACCTATTTTTATTTTTTTGTAGCACCTGCACGCGTAATATTTCTATTAAGAAAGTTTAACTTATGATCAGAATTTCTTTTACGTTTCGAGTGCAGGTCTATTGATTGATAAAAACTGTCATAACGTTAATGTTAATAAAGATGTTGGTTGAATTGACATTTTGCAATGATCACTATATGTAAGAATAAAGTAAACATATAATACATAATATAATACATAAATTTTTTTTAATCGTTATATATTGATCATACCGAAATGAATAAAACATCAACCGAAATCAATAACGAAATCATAACTTATCGAATTCGGCCGAATCGTCATAAATCAAAATTTTATCGGTGTCCCAGAATTTATGAGAGCAGCTGTAACTCGATTTCTGATATAATTCGGTTGACAGATAAACCGGGTTTCAAAAATTAAATTCGGGTTTATTTTTTATAAAGAGGAGCGGATCTTTAATTTTGACAATAGACCTTAACAAAAGATTCTTTGCAAAATTTCTAATATACAGTAATCTAAGGCCTTTCTAACCCTAATACTAATCCTAATCTTAACCATAATGATATGCTTTATTACTTCAATATGTCGGACCTGAAGTTCCGAAAGTCATGACCAGACACCACGTTTTCGGCACTGCTAGGATACAATGCTGAATAATTTGTACACTTCCGAATAATTATACTGCATCATCAAACAACAACAATAGAAATTTTATAATAGCAGAATAAAAAAAATAAATTGAATATGGACTCAAAATATATAATAATATAAAAAAAACAAATAATAAAAATTTTTAAGAAAAATACAGTGTTGTTTTGGCACCATTATAATTATCATTACAAATTAAATATTAAGCTAAAATAAATATTTGGCATAAGTTAATTTTTTCGATTAATGAAAATATGAATAAATTATATGTGTATACTTACTAGCATGTTTTTGTGTCCATTCTCGAGCAGTTGCACCATAACGTGCACGGTCAGTTTTATATACATGAGCGATCTCAGGCATAAGTGGCTCGTCTAATTAAAAAATATAGTAAAAAAAACTTATAGTTGCAACAATTCTAACATCAATTCTTATAATAAAATAATAAATTTTAAACATACCTATATTTGGGTTACTCAGCAATGTATGAATAAATTCAAATACTGAAAAAAAAATAATAATAATGATAAATATATGCTATGAATTATAGAGGTTTTGAAATTGACAAAAGTCGAAAACTGGTATCAATTTTATCAATTAAAAACTTTGACATTACAGGAAAATGGTTTCGACTACCAACAATACGTATTGCACAAAATTTTATTTACCTTTAATGATAGTATAACTAGGTGACCATTGGTCTTTTAGAATATCTAAACATATTTCGCCATTATTATTAACATTTGGATGGTAAATTTTTGTTTTAAAAGTAACCTTTGTAAAATATGCAAACAATAAATTTAAAAAACTG